TGGGGGGGGTGGGGGGTGCAGGAGGCAGGGCATGGGGTGAGCAGAGGCTCTGGGTGTGGGGTGAGGGTGGCTGCTGGTTTCTCCCCAGGGGTGGTCCAGGGCAGTGGCAACTGCCCCCCCCACCTGCCAGCTTGCCCCAGGGGCCAGCAGAGGCTTCATTCCAGGCTGGCAGAGGCTCTCTCCCTCCCTCTGGCCTCTCCCATTGCCCAGCCCCTCTCGGAGTGGGAGGGCTGTCTCCCCCCCCAGCTGGAGGAGGGGCTCTCTCCATCCCTCTGCCCCCGCCTCAGCTGGGGGGGGGAGGGTTGTCTGGATCTGTCTCCTAAGCAGGGAGCCTCCAGTTACCCGGCCTGCTGGCAGGCAAGATGGCTGCCCCAGTGAACACTCCGCAGGATAGCCCTTCCCTGTGGGCATCCACCAAAGCAGTCCAGCCCCTCCCTTTGCATGCTATGGAAAGCCGTCCCTTTCCCAGGGATTCCGCTTGTCCTGGCACAGCCAAACCTTTACCTTGCTCGACATTAGGACAAGAGGAAGCTGCCTACCACAGGCGGTGGCCCCAGCTCTTACTCTTTCAGGAGGAGTTCTTGAACAAGGACTCACAGACAAACACTCGGACATGCTCTAAAATCCACAGATAGACTGTCGTGAGTGTCAGGGGGAATGTTTCCCTGGCAACAGGTTATCACATAGATAATTATTGTAGTGTTCTTTCCCCCTTCCAATACAGCATTATGACCTAGCCCCTGAAGGCTGGGCTGCATGGACTACAGATCTCATCCAATCTGGCAGTGCCTACCTTCCAAACAGTGTTGTGCATCCAAAACTGTTTTTGTTGTGTTCCAGGGCACCTCTAGAGCAGAAAGATGTCCCACTAAACATCGGCTAGTTCCCTGTTCTATTTCCTTTCAGGAAAGAATGTTGAAAACTCCATAGACCTGGACAGTACATGATGTCAGCTGTCAATGACACTAAACTCAACCATGCCGTGTTCCTTCTTACTGGGATACCTGGGCACGAAGTCGTCCATCTTTGGATCTGTATCTCCTTCTGCTTAATATATGTTATTTCAATAGTAGGCAACTCAGTCATTCTCTTTGTTATAAAAACCGACCCAAGCCTCCATGAGCCCATGTACATTTTCCTTTCCATGTTGGCCTTCACAGACCTTGGTGTATCGATAGCCACCGTGCCAACAATACTGGGCATATACTTGTTTAAATCTAGGGAGATCAGCCTGCATGCCTGTTTTGCCCAGCTGTTCTTCATCCACTCCCTTCAGTTTATTGAATCCTCCATACTCTTGCTGATGGCCTTTGACCGCTTTGTCGCGATCCGTGACCCACTGAGATACGCTTCCATCTTAACCCTGCCAAGAATAGCCAAGTTGGGGCTGGTCTTTGTGCTAAGAGGGGTGGCTGTAATATTCCCACTCCCCTTTCTCCTGAAACGCTACCAATACTGCCGAGCCAACATCCTCTCCCATTCCTACTGCCTGCACCAGGAGGTCATGACCCTGGCTTGTGCAGACATCACAATCAACAGTGTCTATGGCCTGCTTATTACCCTTTTAACAGTGGGGTTGGACTCGCTCTTCATCACCCTCTCTTATGTGATGATCCTCAAAACTGTGCTGAGCATCGCGTCCCGTGTGGAGTGCCTCAGGGCCCTGAACACCTGCGTCTCCCACCTCTGCGCCGTCCTGCTCTTTTACGTACCAGAGTTCAGCCTGACTTTGATGCACAGATTTGTGAAGGGCTCTTCTCCCTTGCTAGGGATTCTCCTGGGCTACATCTCCCTACTGGTCCCACCCCTGATGAACCCGATCGTGTACAGTGTGAAAAGCAAACACTTGCGTGCACGGATCATCAAGGTGTTTGTCAAGTGAAGCTCAACATGACTCCAGTGCTGGTGACAAGGGTGATGAAAAATGAGGGCCGCATCAACTTGTTCCATGTTGGTCTCTTACATCTGAGAGATGGGCTGATTATCTCCAATTGGAAGTGAGAGGATCAGACGAAATCTAATGCTTGGAGCTATGGGAGAGGGGTAAGCCCATATCTGGGTGTAGGACAGTGCATTGGGGAAGGAGACCACGGCTGGCAGGACTATGCCCAAAGTGACTGTGTTTGTGGAGAGGCAGGAGACCGGTGGGATATTGGCCTGTAAGACCTCAGAATTCTTGTTAATAAAAACAATAAACTGAATTGATTTCCATGTTGTTTCACATTGTACCTGTCACTGGATTCTGATTGTTCCAGGAGCTGTGGGCAGGGGCTTCTCAAGAGGCACGGACACCCCCCTTTCCCTTATACCCCCAATCAGGTGCTTGAGACTGAGCCACATCTCACACAAGGATTATGTAGGATCTGCAGCAGAAGCTGGCCAGGTACCCCTGTAGCTAGGTCTGCACACAGCTCACCTGTTGGGCCCACTGGCCACCGAGGTGGGGGAGCAGAGCTGGGTGTGTGAAGGAGGGTCTCACACGCAGGAGTCCTGACAGGAGACTGGAGCCCAGATTTCCACTAGCCCAGTGTATGCAGCCCCATCCGCTCAGAAAGGGGTGCTCAGAGGAAGGGAAGCACAATACCTTGGACAGCTCAGTGTAGAGCATTTATTACCACCCAGGCTGAAACTCAACATTGGTTACGGAAGGCCAGGCATGGCCGCTAGGAGGAGTTTGAGACAAAGTCCTGAGACAAGGATACTGCAGACCCATGTGGAAGTGACCCAAGCAGGAAGCAGAGCACTGAAATCTCAAGGACTTGCACTCCGCAGACAACTGCTAGTTACTGGGTCCCTGGACTGTGACTCAGGGGAGTGGGTGGGCGTGAGTCTCCTCCCCCAACAGCCCAGGAGCTGTGTGATGGACTGGGCCGTGTCTGGGCACAGCTGAGGGTGTCCGCTCAGGGCGAATTGCTCAAATCTGGGGCTCCTTACAGCCCCCAGAAGGTGACCTCTCCAAACAGGCCACAAACCAGTCCCACAGAGCACTTCAGCTGCCTGCCTGAAGCCTCACGAGCAAAACCCCTCCAACCCCCCAGCAATATCCGTGCCCCAGATGGCCCCGGGCCTCATACACAGGTGGGGAGTCCTAGCACCCAATCCCACCTACCCCGAACAAGTTCTGTCTCGTTCCAAGAAACCAGCCACAGATCCCTGGTCAATTTACCCTCTGGACCTTACCCACAAATCACGCTGGGCCAATCCTTTAGCATCTAACATCTAAAGGTTTATTATTACAATAAAGAAAAGCATGAGCGTAAGGTTGTTAAAGAATGGTACATTACATGCACCGAATCTCCCAGGTCTCAATGCAGGCTCTAGCAGAGATGTTACAGCTGCTGGCTTAAGAGTCCTTGTTGCACATCCTAGAATCAGGATGGGTTCACAGGTCTTTCCGGCTCTTCGATCCCTGCAATGCTGCCTCTGGGATGAAGTGCTGAGCTGAGAACCAAGATGGAGACCACCACATGGCCTATTTATCCCTCCTTCCTGGTCTCTTCTTGGCTATAGCAGGTCACCTGGTCCACCTCATTCCTGTGTTGCCTGCTGGTAGCCCTTAGCTATGAGTCACCACTCATTCTTTATGTGTGTCCTTGGCCCATTGAGTGCCATTGTCCCACAGGGCCTCGCTAATTAGCATGTCCACAGGCCCGGCCCTGCCCAATGCTCAACCACATGCAGGGAAATATTCAGTATCCATACAGATTACAGATTCCTAACTACACACACAGACATTATACAAACACACGAACAGCTTGCATAGGATTATCAGATAATAAGCTTCTATTCAGCACCCCACATGGCCCCCTTTTATACCATTTTCTGGGACCAACACCCCCACCTATGGGTGCAGCAGTGATCTGGCTGCTTCCCTCAAATTCGGTAATGTGACAAGCTGCTAGAGGGGAACAAAAAAAAAGCTTGGTCCTAGGCAACCCAGAAGAAGAGGCATCTACGATACCATTCTCTCCTGGAGCCAGGAGGAGTAGGAGCATGTTGACTGGGGTGGAGAACCTTTTTTGGGTCAAGGCTCACTGACCCACAGAAAAATCAGTCAGGAACCACAAAAAAACAAACAAACAACCCCCCCCCCCCACTACCCCTCACTGACATGGTCCCTAACTGAGAAAGGAGGAGAAAGACACTGGAGCGCCAGCATGGGCTCCTCAATGCTGGGGGGGGATAGTGTCCCTGGGTTCGGGGGCTGGATCCTGGCAAGTCAGGGGCCACATACAGCTCCCAGGCCTAAGGTTCTCCACCCCCTGATGTAGACATGCCCTGGTCAAAGGCAGTGCTTAAAAGAGAAGGTGGATCAGATATCCTGGTATCAGTAGTGGGGATTGTGGACTAGCCCCGCTGTGAGGGGGGTCACTCACCACCGTAGCGGGGGTCCGTCGTCTGTCCCCGGAATCAGTCCATTCCGCCCGCACAGGCCTCCGCTCACGTGGCGTTTCCCCTCTGGAAACTTCTAGTCGCGTTGCTCTCTTTGCCACACTGCCCTCCGGCAGTGCCCAAGTCACTCGCTCTGAGCCCCCCTTCCGGGGGATTGGTGTCTCTCCAGCAGGCCTGTCCGCAGGCCTAGCAGGCTGGCCGGCTGGCTGTCCGAGCACCCTGGCCCAGCCTAACTCTCTAGCCCTGCCCTAGCTCCAGAGAGCGTCCTGCTCCCTCGGCAGCCAGGCTCACAGCCTTGCCGCAGGCCTAGCAGGCTGGCCGGTTGGCTGTCCAAGCGTCCTGGCCCAGCCTGACTCTCTAGCCCTGCCCTAGCTCCAGAGAGCGTCCTGCTCCCTCGGCAGCCAGGCTCACACTGCCTGGGCTGAAGCAGCCCCGCCCTTTTATAGCTCCCAGCTGGGCCTTAATTGGCCAATGCCGCCCAGCTGGGCTGAACTCCCCGGGCCTGCTCCAGGCTGGGGTTTGGCTCTTAAGGGGCCAGTACAGGGCAGCTGCCCTGTTACACCCGCAAACAAGAGCTTGGCGGGCACTGAGATGAACCCTGTTGGATGTGTACCTTGGATGGTTCTTGTGTGATTCACACAAAAGGTGTGTGACTCAGCTGGACTGATGGGTTATGGAAGAGGCTTAACACGAGAGGGCGCAGGCCCACATACTCGGTCAGAGAAGTGAGAAGTGAGTACTCCAATTCAATACCATGTAGAGAAGGGTTCACTTGAAGATGGGCATTCAGGTGCACTCAGGAGCTAGATGCAAGTTTCTGCTCGTTTTGTAAACCTTGTTTTACGAGGCATAAGGGATCGGCCGACAAAGGCTTTCTTTGTCGCCCAATCCCCATCTTGACAGCCGCTTTTTGCCAACAAGCTGCTGACTTGGCAAAACACGGCAGCCATTTTTATTCAAATGAAGTGTGGGAGATTTAAATCTGGCGACAGAGGGATGTAGTCTAGACATACCCCAGGTGCATCTGTTATGAAGTTTATTGAAAGTTAGGGAAGTGTTGATTTGCTGGGGGACATTCTGACCTATGTATTTTGCAGAGGTTAGTTATAAAAGATTAGGTATTTTGTAGTGCACGTTGGAACAGTCCCCTGGAGCTATTCTGGGAGAGACCTTTTTCCTGACATCTTTACTCCTCGGCAGGGAGGTATTTGGCCAGCACTGTCCCATTGTAATGTACTCAATGCTGTCTCAGAATGTAGAAAAAGATCGGTTATAGTCTAACCCTATTGCCTCTGTTTATGTATGTTTCAGCCTGATAAACTGCAAGGCTAGATCATGTTTGCTCATACTCCATCCTTGATCAGACAGAATCACTGAGTTTCTAACACTGCCTGCAGTGAAGAAGTTAACTTGCTCCTGTTGGGGGTTCTTAAAACCCCCGGGGAAGAGTCTAGGAATTATCGAAGGGCAGGTCTCTGGCCTGTGCTATGCAAGCAGGCAATCTAGGTGATCACAATGATATGTTGTGTTCTTCAGATCTGCCCAGGGGGGATAATAGCCCTGACCCACCACATGGAGTGTTATACTGATCAATATGTTATAGATTGTGAGGTTCTCTGATGGGGAAATACTGGGGGCCAAAGCTAAGTGCCGTAGGGAGATTTCAGCTCTGTGTGCCTCCTAATTATGATTTCGGTGGAGAACCTGAACTCCTTTCCCACCCCCCAGCTTCTGAGGCCTGTTATTAGTAGAGAATCCTTTGATGAGGGAGTTCAGCAGTAAGAGGAGGAGCCAGGATGTGATTTTAGAGGGCAAAGGGGCTGAAGAGCCTTGCCTGGCTGGGGGTGAGAATCAGAGACTGGCTGGACAGGCCAGTGGTCACTCTCCTCCCCCATGTGGGCATGAAGAGGTTGAACAGTACTGCCAGGTCTCGGGCTGGGGTCTTGTGTCCATCAGCTACTCTAACCAGCCTTCTTGGCCCTGTGCAGCCCCTATACTTGTCCAACCTCTCTTCAACAGATCCTGCCAGCAGAGGAGGCCGTCCCTGGTAGCACATTTCTGAAGGGCCTGTGCTAGCAGGGAGCTGGAAGGGATCCTGGAACAAGAGAGTCCCAGAGATTGTGGGTGGCTGGGCCTTGCTACCAGGGAATCACTGAGATCTGTGCTTAAATTAGGGGATACCTGAATCCTGGGTCCTCCTTTTCATTCCACAGAGAGAAGAAAAGGGATCTCCCCTAGTGTAACCCTCACAAGAGAAATTTCCCTGCACGGAGCCTTGTGGCATCTGGACTACAGGGCCTGCAGGGGAGAAATCTAACCCTGTTCTTATCCTTAGTCTTACTCTTCAATTAATTTCAGCAGGGTCACAGAATCATTGTTATAACACATCTTTCTCCAAAGTAGTGTTTTTATTACTCAGAACCTTACCAATAGTGATACATACAGATTTCAGGAACACAGCCTATAGCAGGGCTGATGCTGCAGACGAGC